CCCTAAACCCTAAACCCTATCCGCTTTGCCTTGAACCACGAGCCGACTTGGCCCTCCACGATGTTCCGCACCTTGGACAGAGCCAGGGGCCCCTGAACCCTTCGTGAGCTTCGAGAGGCTCTAAGGAGGCCTGGCAGGATCTATACAAGGCTTTATATAAAGATGTTGAAGAGAGGCTGCGGAAGCATGTTGCCAGGTGCTGACATGTTTGTATGCGAATTTCACAAGGGATTTATGGGGCTTCCCAAAGTTCTGGGCTTAGGGGTCTGCAACGTTTCGGATCCGGGATTTCTGGTTCAAGGTCTCGCTGGCCTAGCCGCTAGCCGCTGGCCAACACAGCCCTTCTCAAATAAAGGTAACAGCCCGCTGGCTTTAGGGCAGTTTAATTCCTGATTACTATACTCTGCAACCGGGGCAACAAAACCTCGAAAAAGAGATTGCATGAACTGGATGCTGGAGAGTGCCATCCTGCCCTAAACGTAAAAAAAAATACCCAGTATGCGGGCTCTTGCCGTTGCCCCTTGGATCTGACATCCTACACCCAAACCTCAACCCTGTGCCTGCAGCGTGTTTCCATCCGGAGCGGGTGAACTGCGGCGTTTTTTGGCGATCCTGTCGGCACCGGCATCGAGCAGAATCCCAGCGATTTCCGCATGGCCACGCTGATGAGCCAGCATCACGGACGTAGTGCCGTCACCTCTGGCTACATTCAGGTCGGCACCTGCTTCCAACAGCAACCGAACGATCTCAGCCTTGCCCTCTGCAGACGCCAACATCAAGGCAGTGGTGCCATCATTGGTGGCTAAGTTCAGGTACGCACCAGCATCCAGTAGCGCACGAGCGGTGTCGGCATGGCCTGCTTCAGAAGCCGACGCCAGCGGGCTGAAGCCGAGATTGTCAGAACAATTCTTATTCGCCCCGGCGTTTAACAGCACACGGACAACTTCCGCTTGGCCTTGAGAAGATGCTGTCAGCATTGCAGTGCAGCCATCATTAGAAGCAGCAAAGTCCTTGTCGGCACCGGC